TATGTTAATTCCTATTGCATTTAAACATAAACAGATGTTCATTTGTAACTCCTAAGGTTATAAGCAAGGGCTGCGCAAAAGAGGTTGGTTTTGAAATGCTTGGCTGCACAATTTGAAGCTGACACTGTTCTCTCTCTTCTGTTTCCAGTAATAGGATTTTTTCCGTGATTGTTTACGTGCTTTCTGAAAACTGTGAATTGCAGTGCAGCCAGTTCCTTAAAACGATTTTTGGGAAAGAAACTGCCAATATGACACATGCCGCAATGTGTGTGCATTTTCTTTGTAAACCTCTCAATACCTGTGTAGGAAGAAGAATACTGACATTTGGTTTGAGGGCTTCCGATGCTGAATACACTTTTAATATTCCTCTAGTTGACTGCACTGGCAGCCGGTTCTGTGCCCTATCTGAAAAATCACTATCCAACTGGCTTCTCTCTCTTTTTTACATTTGTTGGGATGAGTGGGTCGTTCTAGTGGAGGGGTCCTTTCCTTTACTTTAGACCTCCCCCCCGGACAAGGTTTCCTTCCTCTATTTATTTTCCCTCTATTGCTATGTTTCTATCCTTTCGATTTACCCACTGCCTATTAATAGTAATTGGGGTATAATCTTATTGATCGAGTGGCAAGCACTACCCACATCTAAATTTGGATATTTGTAATATAAGACATCTCTGGGCAAAAAGGTAATTATACTATCGACCTTTGTTTAAAACAGGGATTTACATTATTGAAGTGGCAAGTATTACCCATCTGTATATATGTATATAAGATATTCTTGATTTAATATGAACACCTAATATATGACCCACTCTCTCCCACTACATCAGGGCACAACATGCTGCCTCTCTGGCACTATTTGACTTAATTTAGGCTATATTTCCTGCAGTGACTTTGTAATGTTTTTTCATAAGCTGTTACTTTGTTTTGACCCTCACTTGTGTGAGATGATTAGTATTACTGATTAGCTACATGTGTATAACAGTTGCTACTCTGTCAGGGATTTATGCCCTTTAGTCACTTCTAGCCGGAGGTCTATTTTTGCATTTTTGGATTTTAATTCCCTAGTTTATAGGGTGTTTGTGTGTGTTTTGATTCTATTTTGTTTTTTGTCTTTAATAAAGTTTATTATTATTTTGTAAGCCTTTATACTGACTATTGTATAGGGGGTAGTTATTTTGAGGAATCCTAGCCCTTCATTGAGGGGTGATTTTTCCTCATTATTCTAGAGTTGCTATATGTTTAAAGGACCACTATAGTGCCAGGAAAACATACTCGTTTTCCTGGCACTATAGTGCCCTGAGGGTGCCCCCACCCTCAGGGACCCCCTCCTGCCGGGCTCTGGGGGGAGGAAGGGGTTAAACTTACCTCTTTCTCCAGCGCCGGGGCGGCGAGCTCTCCTCCTCCTCTCCGCCTCCTCGGCTGAATGCACATGCGCGGCAGGAGCTGCGCGCACATTCAGCCAGTCTCATAGGAAAGCATTCATAATGCTTTTCTATGGACGCTTGCGTCTTCTCACTGTGATTTTCACAGTGAGAAGCAGGCAAATGCCTCTAGCGGCTGTCAATGAGACAACAATTAGAGGCTTTAGAGGCTGGATTAACCTATTTATAAACATAGCAGTTTCTCTGAAAGTGCTATGTTTATAAAAAAAAAAAAAAACCCTAGCTGGACCAGGCACCCAGACCACTTCATTAAGCTGAAGTGGTCTGGGTGCATATAGTGGTCCTTTAAGGGTTATGCCCTTTACTACTCCTGTAACCCATTCTTCTATTTTCTGACTGGAGGTAGTATATGTATTAGACATTTGGTTTAAGTATATTTCACCTTAAAACATCACTTAAAACACAATTGTATATCTGGGAGGCCAACTCTAAAGCTCTATATGTGTCACAATGCAAGAACAATCTTACAAAACAATGTTTAGGTGGTACAACACACCAGTTCAATTATATCACATGAAAAAGACACCCACAGATCTCTGTTGGCGAAACTGTGGGGCTAAGGGTACTTATGTGCATTTGTGGTGGATTTGCCCCAGAGTGGCATTATTCTAGTGGGATATCCAGACACTGGCATCCCAGATACTCTCCAGAGCAGTCGACCTGAACCCATGGGTATTTCTGCTGGCAAAACACTTTGATAACTGGTCTAGACCAGAACAACAATTATTCAACAAAATTGCACTACCAGGTAGACGGGCCTTAGCCGAAACCTGGCTAGAACCCACCACACCCCCCCCCATTGCCATGACATCCCAAATACGAGGCTCCATGAAGACATTCTCCAAGACATGGGAACCATGGGAAAGCTATATTGACAATTAATGAACTGAACACTAGAGACGTCTAACGAGCCAATAGACAACACACCGATCAAGTCAAGGAACTATCCTAAACCTTCCTACACACTGTGATGAAATACACTTCGCCACTGGTTTTTGGAGGGGCCTGTGTGCCAGCCTGGGACTATGGGCCCTGTGATAACCCATGTTCAAAAGTATTGTTTCTGCCCCTTGTACTTTTAACTGGAACGGATTCAAACATGTGTATGGAACTGTTTTGGGCATGGGGCCATGTGCACGGTGGGGCAAAAATAAGACTTCCAGGAAATTCATGAACCGATCTGGGTGATTTTTGGATATGTTGTTCACCCAGATCGGGGCTATCAGGGGATATGTTGTATTTTGGGGTACTTTTTTGGGTTTGTAAAAATTTATGTTTTTTATGTTTAGAGTTAATTGAGTTAGCCCATTGTCTTTGTTACTTGTATCACAGGCAGAGGGGAGGGATTGTGTGCTGTAAATGGGAGTGTCGGACATTGTTGTATTGTTCTGATTGCTTTGTGTCCTTTGTGTGCCTGTGTTCCATCAGGTCCAGAGGGTGTGCCTCTGGCCTGAGGAATTGTATACAAGCAAACCTGTAACAATAAAGCCTCAGACTTGTTCTACCCTTCATGAAGTCTTGGCTCATGTTTGGGGGATTGGAGAACTACAGACACTCAGGGGATTGCTATAATCACTATACTCCTCTGAGTATAATCACTGAGCTCTTGATCCTGCTTTCTGAATTAAAAGAGGTCTATCTAATGGAAGCTGGATCCTGGTCTAGAGTCCAGAGTGGGTGGAAGACGGCGAGACCCCAATCAACCTGCCGGGGTTTGTGGGGTCTGCGGTAGTTATGGTGTCTAGTGGATGTTTGGAGCCCTCGGAAAGCACTAGGAGCATCCGTCAACGGAGGTACCCAGTCGGGGTGCCAGGCGATCCGTTACACCCACCTCTACTACTAAACCCTCCTACACCCTTACTATCCTACTCTCTCTCTGCTAGGCCGAGATTTCCGGTACCTTGGTCTACTAAACTTCTCTATATGTTAAAGAAACGCAACTATGTTGTCCTTATTAAATTCTCTGTTTATTTTTCTTTGTGTTTCTTCTTTTCTTTAAATATTATAAAACTTTGACAGACAGAAACCATGCCACACTAGAATGTATGACATTCGAACAAATAGGTAACGGTTCAGCGCTAAATAATCTAATAGAAACTAAAACAAGTGAGGAAGCAGCAACCTATAAGTATGAGGCTCCCTCAAAAAGCCTCACAGATAAGGAAATAGACAAAAATTGGTATATAGGTCGCGCTATGGAAACAAAGGGATAATATAAAAAAAAAAAATAACTAAATAGTAAAAAGTCCCAAATAATAAATCAACCTGTTGAGTTCTTGAGTATATATAGAGTCCAATGAGTGTCTGAAACTTCTTATTTTGGAGATATCTTGGTTCGCTTGTTGATGTATGGGTACATGAAAAAGACAAGAGAAACTCCAATAGTGCAGCATGTCGACAAATGGACAAGATTAAAATCTGTTAATAGGTAAAACACTCACCTATTTATGAGCAAAGAAACTTGCTCATGTGTTCTTAGCATTCAGTGGCGTCTCTCCCCCACTGGTCGGATATACGTGATGAAATCCTTAAAAATTCCTCGGTATATAAAGAGATAAGAGAAGTATATAGTGCTCACTAGAATTCTTGAGTAGTAACGTACTCCAATTCGAATCGGTGACCAGGAAATTTAAAAACAAGAAAATAAATGAAATAAAATAGTAAGAGGTATATATAGGCAGAAAAAAAGCCAATATTCCTTTATTTGTAGTATAATATATCAATATAAAAATCAGTGTATAAACAGCCAAAACGCGTTTCACCACACAGGGCTTTATCAAATGGCATTAAAAGAGAGAAAAACCTGGTACAGTAGATGCTTTTATAAGCTAAAAGAAACAGATGTGGATTCGAATTTAGGTGCCAAAATGACGTCACTAATAAAATATGCATCCAAACAGCAGCTCTGGGAGGCTATTCTGACATCTTGCAAACAAATTCAAGCAGACACTGTCCAAGAACTCACAAGTTCAATGGATGCAAGACTTGTGAAGCTGCTATCAAATAAGAGGTCCTATGTTAAAATGTAACGTGACCTGTTAAAATGTTTAACCCCTTAACGCCGTTACAGCGTTCTATGCCGTCGCGGCTTTAAAGGGCTTTAAAGCAATTGCGGTGGCATAGAACGCCGTAACGGCTTTCAGCCCCAAGGGATCGCAGCTACTTACCTCCGCTGCGATCCTCTTCTGGAGGGCTGCCTGACCGCCCAGGTAGCCCTCCTCCGGCAAATGAGGCCCCCAGGGCCATGTGATCGCTCTCAAAGAGCGATCACATGGCCCCCTATAGCTGGCTATGGATCTGCCAGCAGGGGGACTGTCTGAAATGTCAGACAGTCCCCCTGCTGGTGGGAAATGAAAAAAAATAAAAATAAACATGTGTAAAAATAAATTAAATATATTTATATATCTATAATATATTATATATATATGTATAATATATACATATTATATATATATAACGTCATACGTTGTGTATTTTAATACTAATATTAGTATATATATTAGTATTAAAATACACTTAGAATGACGTTACATATATATAATATGTATATATATTATATATATATATATAAGATATATACACATATATTATATATATACGTATAATTGTAGATTATGCTAGCTTTAGTGTACCTATAATCTTAATTTTATTAATGACAGGAGGCGAGTATTTGCTTTAGTCTCTCTTTACTAGAACTCCACAGCAGCACAGAAAAACAACCAATCAGAAAAAAGTTAGGTACTATAAAATTGCATCATTTCCTCTTTCAAGCTGCAACAAAACAGAACAAAGGCAGAAAAAATAATGGGAAGCAACGAAGTCCAGATACGATGAATACAGCAATGTCCAACGTCTGAGAAGAACTGTCAACCGTATAGCGTTGATGGACTGAAAATAAGTCAATGCCCACCATCCACGAAGAAGCGCCACACCAGATAGTGCTGAAGGACTGGAAACTGAAATGAGAGAAAAACAGAATCGAACAGGTTGATTATCCAATGAAATGTAATTTGAATAAACTTGTAGATACCCAATGTAGCAAAACAAAATTACCTAATATGTAGATATCCCAACCCTACTTATGAAAAACAGACATAAGGACAGGTGACAGGTAGCAGAAACAACAAGCAGAGTTGTATACGTACCTGATAAATCCAAACTATAAAATTAAACAAGGGAGGGATAAGAATGGGTGGGAAATACTCGCCTCCTGTCATTAATAAAATTAAGATTATAGGTACACTAAAGCTTGCATAATCTACAATTTTATAACATGACAGGAGGCTTCGTATTTGTTGTTTTAACGCTCAGCCAACAAATCCAACGCTGCTTGTTTCACTGGTACCCATTCCGAGAATATTAGAGCAATCCTAAATCGACCTTCCAACTGTGAGAAGTGACCTCCGTTGATAGATCCATTGTACGTGGGGTTACGACCTGTTCCCTAACAGTCGGTCCATGGGCTGCCAAGTTGACCTATTAGCCATATTCCTGTAGGTGTAAAGTGCCGAGGGGTCGCGAGAAGAGACTTCCACCGTATCTCGACTCTTGATGTGAGAGGTGATTCCTCCGATCGTGTCAGGTTCACCAGGCGATGTGGCCTTGCAGACAAACTCCAACCTCAGGCCTGTGCCTAAGTCAACCATCAATACTCGAATAGAACCGAATAGTGTCTATTCGTTCCTTTAAGACCTACCTGGTGAATTGTCTCCTCCGAAATAAAGTTATATACAGATAATAGTGTGGACAATACTAGCCGTATCCTAAGAGACTCCAGTCTATCAACTGGACTGCGTAATCCACGGCTGCGGTCTAGAAAAGAGATCCAAAGGGCGTCCAATCAAGGTCTCAAACTGAACTCGTGTGGTAAACGGTGGTCAACTATTCTGGGAATTGTGGATCCTGGAAAGCTCAAAAGGATGGGACCGGAAACCGGGGTAGAGATTTCCATCCAAATACATCGTCCTCTAAGTGCTAAGATGGCCAGATCCAATAGAGTTTAGGACCGTATAACACAGAAGAGCCCTTACGTGTTGCAGTGAGAGTGTGAGATACTCTGATTACCATTTGTACAATCCTGTTCCATGCCCGACCTGTCAATATTCGTGTAGGAGTTCCTGGCCTACACGCCACCTACAAGATAGGGAATAATATAGTGAGACCCCTAGGTTCCTGTCTCATAGACTGTCCAAGCATGTATCTCCCAGTGTAGGTTTCCTTGATGGTAGTTGAATAGGAAGGCTAGTGAGAACCCAAATCAAGATGGTTCCCGTGATGGATATAGAGTCCGAACACTGTTCTCAAGGTGTGTTCAGAGTTGTAGGAGCAGTCCTGCCAACTTTATCTCAAGATTGTAAGGACCAGGGAAGCCAAGTCCTGAGAATTTCGGTTTCTCCATGTGATCCATGCATACGGTGCACCTGAAGACCGTTTATGGGAATTTTCCAGTCTTGTTACTCAAGCAAGGCAGTGCCCGTTTGCCCTATGCAGGTCTCAGAATCTCATGTCACCCTGACACGGGAGAATAGTCTGCACAGTTTGTACACAATGAATATCTGAAACAGAGTGCAATGTCTGTTTGATATAGCACAGGTTATACCAAAACCTGTACTCCTGTAAGAACTGAGGCTCCTCCTTAGCCGTACTGTCTCCCAGAATGTGTGTACATAAGTGGGAAACCTCCCCCACTAATACCTCTGAGGGCATTTCTCACGTGGATTACAAGATGAATCCAGACAAACTATGTATACCTTGCCCGATCAGGTAGCCCGCTAGAACGAAATCAGTAGCGCGGTCATCATATTTAAACTGGATGTAGGAGGGACGCCCCTCTATGCGGTCATAGTTGACCTGTACAGGTACAAGCCTGTGTGAGGAACAAATGGACGGCACCATAGTGCGTTGAGTGTATGAGAGAGTCGCACTCTGTAAAATGTGATCGCACTCTGAGTCCGCGCACGGTTGGTGGTATGAGCGGGCCGCACCCGTTAGACGTCAAACTTAGAGTCTACCTCTGTGTCCAGTTCCTTCTATGAGAATGAGTCACTCGGAGCATGTCCTCTATATCCAGCTCAGTATCGGGCCGAGGTTGAGGGAGGGCCACGCCCTCTAATAATGAATCCGTGTCTGATTCAGTAAATGAGAGGGGTTCGCCCTCTACTCTTGAAAATAAAAATATCAGTCTCGGACCGAGGTGAAGGAGGGCCGCACCCTCTGTAATCCAAACCAGAGTCCAGTAGAGACTCAGGGTGACCAAACGTGGGGTACACCCTTATTTAATATAAGCAAAGTATACAACCTCGGGCAGTGTCCGACCTTAAGAGAAAGGAGTGATGAGAAAAGTACGTTTCGGAGCTGAAGATGGTAACTATCAACGGACCGCCCGGATCCCGTGCGTTCGGGCTCCAGGATGACCGTCGGTAGTCTGAGGAAAGCTGGAGACGTTCTCCGCAATCCACAAGTGCCCGGGAGGTCGGAGGAGGTCAAGTCAGGCCTCTCGACGACCCGAGCAATAGGACAATAGAAGGCACGAAAACAAAGAAACGACCAATGTAAAGTGGAAAATACGTACCTCGGAAAGCAGGTCGGATAGCAGAACTGGAAAAAACGAATCACGTGAATCCAGTCAAAGAGGTCAGGAGCTAAACGTGACATAGAAAAACACTACCAATACCTAATATAGCGTCTGAGCACTGTTCCCTGCTTGTGCGAAATTCCCATTGGAGATGTGTCGTCGTTGGGTATAACCCGTAATTGCGTGCCCGGGAATTCTCAGAAAAACTTTGCCATTCAGGGCATGAGGTGTAGGGCCTTCACCCCTCCAATCACAGTTAGATGTCCATATTCTGGTGTCCTCTTGGATAATCTGGCAGCAGTGTCTGTCCGGACACCCACCTTTGCTTACTTCAGTGATTCCCCCAGGTATGTGGTCCAAAGGGGAGTTCGGGCACAGGTAGAGCAGGCCAATCTTATGGCACAGACCGAGCAGGCCAATCTTATGGGCACAGACATAGCAGGCCAATCTTATGGGCACAGACAAAGCAGGCCAATCTTATGGGCACAGACATAGCAGGCCAATCTTGTGGGCACAGACATAGCAGGCCAATCTTATGGGCACAGACATAGCAGGCCAATCTTATGGGCACAGACATAGCAGGCCAATCTTACGGGCACAGACATAGCAGGCCAATCTTATGGGCACAGACATAGCAGGCCCATTAATGGGGCACAGACATAGCAGGCCAATCCTGGGTTTCATTTTAAATGAGTAATGGGGACCTCTGAGTTTGGCAGAGTCCCCTAAATATCTGTAAATCCTCCGGGTATCCTGTGACCTAGTACCCTTAGACACTAATCTTAGACAGCGTACTACTGTGTGAATAAACCGTAACCGGGACTGGCGGTCCCTAAGTGCCCAGCAGGCAACATAGAGGTAAAAACCAGTTGTATAGGGTTTAAGCTGAACATGTTCCAGTGAGTGTCCATAAAATCAAGCTCTGCTGAGCAATACCTTCTTTAAGGTGCAAATTGTAATGCACATGTACATACAGCTCCGTATGAGATATCTTATCTTTATTGTAGGTCATCATCATCATACCGCCTGAAGGGTATTGTACTCATGGTCTCTTCAGGAGTAGGGCAAAAACAATTGCCAACTCAATGACTCTTCCCAAGAAGCCTGATAAGATAGAATAGTATCGGCCTAGACAGGACATCTACCGTCAGTGAAACTCACAGCAATCTATAGCACTAAGACTCACAGCAAGCCGTGCTATATACACTGACATAGAACTCACAGAAATATGTGATTTATGTATACACTGTCCTATAACTCACAGAATCTGTGATATAAATATATACTGCCCAAGGACTCACAGAAATCCGCGATATATTGTGATGGGATTCCAGCATGGTTAAAATTTAGTAGGCCAAAATCTCCATGTGGCATATGTGTATGTTGTGTCAGTTGGTTAGCTACATGTAGCTAGGATACTGTCATCAGTGTACTGAGCATGTGCAGGAATGCAGGAACTGAAATTGCACTTATTTCCTTTGTCTTGGATGGGCCATGTGGTTTGACTAGATGTACAAGTATATATTCTGCTCATTGATTGGTTAAAGGTATATGTGGGTGTAGCTATTAATGGGAGGAGTTATGTGCCTATATAGGGAGCCTGCACTATTGTTCAGGGCTCAGAACTTGCTGTATTTTTGGTGACATTAGTCCCTCTGAGTCCCGATCGGTGATCCAATAAAGAATCTCTTCCTTCCTGAAGAAACCTGTGTCCATCTCTCTGTGCTTTGCTTCCGTCAGTTTCTCCGGTATCATTTGGTGCATTGGCCGGGAAGCTCATCGTTCAACGGTAGCTGAGAGGCAGAGGCGTGAGACGGTCTATCTTTGCCCACGTTCTCTACGGCTGCACCCCTGAACTTCTGCGTGGACCTCCCTTCGTCTCGGCGCCACTGGTCTGTTGTCCAGGAGATCATCGGCCTCTACGTAAGAAGTGCTGGGGTGTCCCCGTCGATGAGTGTGAACTCAGGTTCAGGAACGAGGAGGTAAGACAACTGCTGTTTTAGACGGCAGACCCACTAGGGGTATACCGATTGTGCGGTAGGCCCAAAAGGGGTTTAAATCTGTGTATGGAATCTGCCCCCTCTGTCGGAGGGAAGGAGCGAAGGCGCACCGCTCGATCGAACGCTCTTTAGTAAGACCGCTTTGATCTGGTTAGTCAGGCGGGGTCCTGTGTAAATAGCCCTAGCCGGACACCGGTGTCTTGTCTAGACTAGCGTTCTAGGGTGTATATTACGTTCGCTAGGTCGGAGGGACCGGGAGACTAAGCGGCGCCTGTGTAAATTCGGTTCGCTAGCTCTCAACCTATCTTGGCTAAGTGGGAAGGCGTGTAAATTTGGAACCCACTAGACTTTTGATAGAGTAAATAGACTAGAAGGGCAATTTCTGCCCTCTAGTTCGCTATATGTGGTGCTTGGGCAGTGTGGCTAACCAAAACGGGTGTATATAGTTTTAGGTAGTCTATTCAAGGTACTGGCCAATAGTTTAGTTGGGATTATTGTAAATGTTGTTAAATATATTGTAGTTGGTGAATTGGTTAACTTGTATGTCCTACTAGAAAGTTAGAGCTCTGCTGTCTAGTGGGAGTGTAAATTGTGTGTATAACTGTAAAATAGCGCACGGTACCATAACTACTGACATGTACCATAACCACTGACATTGTGTAAAAATTACTAACAATTGCTGTTTTATGTTATATGTATAATACCATAACTGTTACTAACTGATCTGTGACTTTAAAACTGTATTATAACCACTTACTAACTGTACCATAACCACTGACTGTAAAGATGAGGTTACTAGAATGTGATATAGTTGGTTAGTCAAAAGTTGATTTATAGTACAGATAATTGTAGAGATGAATTTGTTGAAATGTTATGTGATCGGTTAGTTTATATGGATTAATAGCGTGGATAGTTGTATGGTTTGAATAATAGTTACATTGATAAGTGTATAGTCTTTGGTGGGTTTTTGATTTAATTTCGTGTGTGCGACGTCGTGATATTGTTGAGCATGTGAGGATCCTGTGTGTGTGTTTGGGCCTAGTGACTGCGCAATGTGTTGCTGGTGATAAGGAGATTGGTGTGACTGTTGAAACTGTGTGTATATTTGTACAGCTTTTTGAATCAGACGTTCTGTTGAAATAATCTGATTCACTAGGCTGTTAGTCTTTTGTCTTGTATGTTTAAAAAAAAAAAAAGTAGGGAGTAGCTTGTCCTGGTGGCCGCATGGCCTCCATGTAGCAGTCTTCACTTAAATTTAGTGCAGGGTGTACATGTGGCTGTAACTAGTAGGCTGGAATTCTATGATCAGTTTCTATATATTGACTGTTGGAAACTGATTGTTGCCTTGGTGAATTAAACTGTGTCATATGGGAAACAATGTAGCCACATGGTGGTCAGAACTAAGGACTTAATTACAACTGCTTTGGACATCCCCTCCCCCCCTGGCATCTGATTACCAACCCCCCAAACATCCTCCAGAGCCAGATTAGCCACGCCCATTTCTGGCTGGTATAATCAGTATTTGCACTCCCCCTGCTCTACTGTCCCCGCCTACCCACATACCTATCTGTTCCTGTGTTTCAAACTCTTGTATTTCTGTACTACCCCTCCCCCTAATCAATGATCAATGGTATCAAATGGTATATTGGGTTTTTTTTAGTTACTGGATGGGCCCCTCCCAGCTTTGTCCAAAATGTCCCCTTTTACTAAACTACAAACTGAAATGTTTAATTTACCTTAGAACTAAAGATTTAATCAAGCCTAGCTAGCAGGGTGGACATTGATTAAAATAAGTAATAATAAAATAGGACATAATTAATTAAAGTCTATTTGTTTCATTTGACTTTAGGGAGGCACTCTAAGCCACCTACTGGCCATCTTCGGGAGTTACATTGATAATGCATTGTTTATAACAGATAGATGTAGGATTGCTTACCCTATTTTAATATATTTATTGCTATAAGGTTTTATTTTATGTATAAATATATTAAAAGTTGAGTTTTCTTATTAGACCCATAAAGATTATTTTGATACAATTACCCTCTGGTGACACCTACTGGTAGGTTTTTGGTTTAACACTTTTAAAAAAAAAAAACGTTTTTTCATCCACCAAATGCTGACTAATAAAATTATCTTACTACTCCTAGACTGGAACCTATTATTGGGCAGCCTTGCCGAAGTCCCATATTAGACACTGCTTGAGTCAAATAGGTTGTATACTCCCTTTAATCCAGAGGCCCCTGAAAACTTCCGAATGATAGACTCAGCATTTGTCAGCCAGGCCCAAGGTGATAGTAAAAGGAAATTAAAGAAAATTAGAGGGATTTGTAGGGATGTCCATAATACAGCTAATGGAGATTGCAAATACAGTATATATGAATAGGGAGATGGAGGAAGAACGTAAAATGAGGAAAAAGGCAGATATGCTAGCGGTAGCTATCTTAAGTGTAGAAAGACAGGGAAGTGAATAGAGGAGACGAGAATAGGCTGAGCAAGGGACTTTAAGTAGGAATTAATGTGCGTATTGTAGAAAGGAGGGACATTGGAAGAGTGAGTGTCCACAGAGAGAGCAGTATGAAGGTGATAGACAAGGAGAGAGAAGGGTACGAGGAGGTTATAGTGGTAGTTATAGAGTAAGAGGAAGTTTTAGAGGGAATGGTGGGAATAGTAGAGGAAGTGTTCAAGGAGACAGATACTATCCACCCACGCAGAGACCTAGAGAAAGAGAGTATAGAGATTTTGTGGGTCTGGCTGACACTATCATGGAAGACTATTGATACCGACTGGGCTCCATCCCACTTGGTCGAGCGTAGCCTATGGTCGATGTAGCAATAGGGGGAAAGAGAAGTTCTTTCATGATCGACACAGGTGCTGAACATTCTGTGGTGAAGCATTAGTTCCTATATATGCCAGAGTGTCCGATTCAACTTTTAGGACGAGATCTATTATCGAAGCTTTAAACTCAGATAACCTTTTACCTAATGGATTAACATCTCTGAAGTTTAAGGGATTACCAGGCATAATGGTGATATCGGTGCCGAGGGAAGAAGAATGACGCTTCTATTCCATAGTGACAAGTGTTAACCCTAAGAGTGATGAATCCTTACTTGACATTCCAGGAGTATGGGAAGAAAATAATCCTCCAGGACTTGCTCGTAATATCCCACCAATACATATTGAGTTAAAGCTCGGGGTGTATTCTGTTAGCCTTTGTATGTTGTTCTTTTATCTACCCCAACAGCTGTAAAGGTGGCGGAAGTGACTCCTTGGATTCATCATTCTAAGGTTAAACCAGCAGCAGACTCTTGGCAAACTACTCCAGATCCTGAGAATCCTTGCAGGACCCGGTTGAAGCGTGCAACTCAGTCGGAGTGACGAGGGGATATCGAGACATTCTAATTAAAAGTCTACAAAGATCATCAAGTAGGTGTTTTGACGGCCATAATAAAGCCTGACCACCTGCCTACGTGTCATAGCCAGAGTATCTTGAAGGGATCTCTGTGAAGGAAAGTGAGGATCAGAAGAACAACATCCTTGCAGCCCTCACAATCGGGAAGCTGAGAGGCCATCGCACGGTCGAAGAAAAATGAGGATTTCAGGAATAATGTGTTTTATTGTGTCTTAGTATTTTTATGATTTTTCAGGAAGGTAGGAGTATAGACATACCGAATTGCGATAGTTGCATTAAGACTACTAAAACAGGTAACCAAATATCCCAAACTTTCATCTGGCACTCACAGTATGAATGTAAGGGATCTGTATCTAAATGTAGATATTTGGATATTGATTATAGTGTGTGCAAGCCAATATCAGGAGAGTCTAAATGTTTTGATCCCCATTTCCAACCCCGTACAATTTGGTTGGTAATTCGGAATAGTAACTCCCAGGGGACATTAATAAATAGGACTGTGATAAGCACCATACATTCCGCGGGTATTCTACTATTTGATGCATGTAAGGCGATTTCGGGTAGTGGAAGACTTTGGAATGTATGTGGTAATCTTAAATGGGAACGAACTTATGGGTTTAATGATAAATACTTATGTCCCAGTAAAAGATCTACTGATCCTGATTGCCCAAATAGAGACTAACTTCTGCCCCTATTGGTCATGTGTAGGTTGGGCAACCT